GTCTTGTTTTCCGGACATATCAGCTCTAAGTGTTGTGGACTTTTTTTAATTATCTCACATCAATAGTCATATTCTAATTTCCTAGAACTGCTCTCAGTGGTCTGCTTTTGTGGACTTTTTTTTTATTATCTCACATTAATAGTCATATTTTCATTTCCCAGAACGGCTCTCAGTGGTCTGCTTTTGCTTTTGCTTTTGTTGTGCTGTGTGCGTCCTACACAAACAGAGTGAGTGTGCGTTTGGTCGAAAGACTCGTTCGTGAATGCGCGCAGAGACACCCCACCTCCCGGAGAGCAGGAAGGAGAGGCGGTCGATGGGCGTCCTGCCCTCCACGGCGTACGTCTACCCATTAGCAGCTGCTAAGGTGGCCTCCCTTTTTCCCTACTTATCCCAGATTAGAAAAAAAAAAAAACTATTAAATCTACTAAAATATTCTGAAAGTTAAAGCACATCAAAACACAAACTGAAGACACATAAAAATGTCTTGTCTGAATAATTCTGAGGCCAGAATACAGCAGCAGGCCCTATAAAGTCAACTTTTTTGGGAAAAGTGTTACTTGCATCCAGTTAAAATTGAGCATTTCTTTTTTTAATCAACATCATGAAGGCTTGATTCTGAAATATTCAGAAATATCTGACAACATTTTGAAATAAACCCATTATTAAATTACTAGATTAATAGTTTTGTGTGCCTGAATTTGAAAAATCAGGTTTAAAATTTGTGAGTTGATCATATTTTAGGAGCAAGTTATTGTTATTTCCCTCAGACATTTAAAAAAAACAGAGGTCAAAGGCCGGTGAATTTTGCATTTTTTGGGGACATCTCACATTAACAGTCATATTCTCATTTCCCAGAACGGCTCTCAGTGGTCTGCTTTTGCTTTTGCTTTTGTAGTGCTGTGTGCATCCTACACAAACAGAGTGAGTTTGCGTTTGGTCGGAAAACTCTATCGTGCGCGCAGAGACACCCCACCTCCCGGACAGCAGGAAGGATAGTCGGTCGATGGGCGTCCTGCCCTCCACGGCGTAGGTTTCCCCGGCCTTCAGCTCCACCGCCCTGCTCTCGAAGGCCCTGGCGAGCTCCTTGAAGACGCCCGCGGGGACGCCCAGCGGCGCGTAGACGGCCTGGTGGAGCTCCGCCAGCTGCTGGCCGCGGATTCCCTCCCGCCGCAGACGCACCAGGAGGTGGCCCACCTGGGCCAGGCCGGCCATCAGCAGCAGGAGGTTCCAGCCGAACACGTCCGGCCCGCACATGCTCATCCAGCCCCACAGCGCCAGGCACAGGAACCCGGGGCACAGCAGGCCGAAGATGAACAGGCACCCGTAGGGCCCGCTGCCCCCCATGTAGCCCAGGAACAGCACGGTGTGGCCCAGGTGGTAGAAGGCCCCCTCCGTGCCGTTGGTCCAGCCGTCGCAGAGCGGCCGGAAGAAAAGGCCGTCCAGCAGGGTCAGGTTCTCCGCGCCCATGGTTTGAGCCCCTCGCAAAAAAAAAGAGACTTCGGAAAGGGAGAATTCGCAAAAACGGAGCAAAAACGAGGTAAAAAATGAGAAAATAAAAACACAAATAAGGCTTCTAATTCCCAAAAAAAGCCCGGCAATGTCTCTGTCCCGTTAACTACTCACAACAGCCGGCCGAAAAAAGAAAACGAGGTAAAAAATAACAAAATAAAAACACCAATAAGGCTTCTAATCCAAAAAAAAAAGCCTGGCAATGTCTCTTTTTCTGTTAACACTCACAACAGCCGGCCGAAAAAAGAAAACGAGAAAAAACGAGGTAAAAAATGACAAAATAAAAACACCAATAAGGCCTTGAATCCCAAAAAAAAATCCCGGCAATGTCTCTGTCCTGTCAACACTCACAACAGCCGGCCGAAAAAAGAAAACGAGGTAAAAAATGACAAAATAAAAACACCAGTAAGGCTTCGATTAAAAAAAAAAAAGCCTGGTGCTGTCTCTGTCCTGTTAACTACTCACAACGGCCGTCCGAAAAAAGAAAACGAGGTAAAAAATGACAAAATAAAAACACCAATAAGGCTTTGAATCCCAAAAAAAAGCCTGGCAATGTCTCTGTCCTGTTAACTACTCACAACAGCCGGCCGAAAAAAGAAAACGAGCAAAAACGAGGTAAAAAATGACAAAATAAAAACACCAATAAGGCCTTGAATCCAAAATAAAAGCCTTGCAATGTCTCTGTCCTGTTAACTACTCACAATGGCCGTCCGAAAAAAGAAAAACAAACAGCTAATGCTGTGTGTGAATATGTCAAAGGTAAATGTTTGTTTGTTCCCTGGGCGTGCAGTTGGGAAATTTCTTCAGTGTGAAGGAGTTCTCACGGCTCTGTGGGGAGCAGAAACACGGCCTCTCTTCTCATTCTGCGTCCCTCCTCTCCCCTCTGAGGCTTCCCGGGGGGGTCTTTTTCTTTCTTTTTCTTTCTCCGCTTTGCTTTTTCTGTCTGTTCCTCTCACCGGCCGGCCTGCACTGCAGAGCCAACAGGTGGAGGAGGGGGGAGGGGGGAGGGGGGGGGGGGGGGGGCGTTGATAGAGCCCTAGAAGGATAACCATGTTTGGAATTGAAACCCAAGGAGGAGAGAGCGGCGGATAGAAAGCAGGCCTGCTACTTAACATAACAGAAAGAGAGGGACAGGAAACGGCGGGGAGGAGAGAGGCCCTATGACAAGAGACACCCCCCCCCCAAGAAAGAAAAAAAAGAGTGTTGCATGTTTAAAGTTCAGGGTTTCGCACTGATTTCCCGATTCCAGGCCGCTCCAGGGAGCGCGGCTCTACTGGTGATGTATTTAGGGACACGGAAATAAACAGGAAGGTCGGATTTCAGGTGTAAACCTTCACATTTGGGACTTCCAAACTGGAAAAAAAACCTCTCCGAGCCTCCGACCTGCCACATTTTTCCTGTTTGCAGCACAGAAAGCTGCATTTTTCTGTTTCATAGAAATTAGGCCTTTAACCTTTTATACCAGGCACAATAACTTGGAAAAAAAATACAGTTTTTTCCTAATTGATCAAAAAACAAAATTTTAAAAATCGAATCCCGATGACAATTTTGTCTGGCATTCTATTTTGCTCAATGAACTGAGTTAAAACGTCTTTTTTTTTTTTACCGTTTAGACAGATTTCACATCTACTCAATGCGATCTGTAGCTTTTGTATTTGGATGATTTTACTCTTAGCGTGGATTCATCTTCTCAGGCTAAAGGTGAACTACTTTGTTTACAACTCTATCCCGGCGGCGCTGTGAAAACAAGTGTCCGTGATCACGTGATGGAGGAAGAATGCAGATATGCCAAGTATTGACTTTGCGGGGTCAGGAGTTATTTTTAAGCAGAAGTGCATACCGGCGGCAGCAACTGGCCAGAAACCAGCGCCGAAGGGAGGGAAGCCTAAAGATGACCCCACCACGGGTAGGAAGCAGGACAGAAGACGCGTGTGGGGCTTATTGCATAGGACCTTTATTTTCCACACAGTCTTTTACATGGATTCACACAGATTGTTTTCATGTTAAAAAAAAAAGAAAAAAAGAAAATCCATAGTCGGAGTGCTCCATAATCCCGTTTTTCCCTTGCGGTAGAGGTATAAATAAGAGGGTGAAAAAGAATCCGAAGGGCGACCTTCCACTCACAGCTACACACTGTGGGGGAGAGGAAAAAACGCACAGGTTATTGCTCGCCGTTTCCTGGGACGCCATGACTGACTTTGACGATTTGAACATTTAATTTAATTTCGTTTCGTTTATGTTGAAACATGATATGATTTTACAATGTTTACATAGAATGCTTCATAAACATGCATCATGTTTCAAAAAGGAACAAGATGAAGCATAAGCTTATTAAGCCCCACCCCTCAGTTACATGAGTCGTGGTGGTAAAGGACGATTACAGTATAACTTTTTATGTATTATTCTTTTTTGTATTCATCAAAAATACTTGTCTTATATCGTTTTTTGAATTGCTGGATGGTATTACATTGTTTAATATTTTCAGGCAAGCTGTTCCAGAGCTTCACTCTAACGCTAACTGATAAACTGAAGGTTCTTTTTGTTGTTCGAACACACTTAGTTTTGAAATTTAATTTTCCTTAGATTATATTTTCCATCTCTATCTGTAAAACAATCTTTGTGTGTGTGCAGGAAGAGCCCACGGGAAAGCGGGCCCAGCCGGAGACGTAATAGCAAATTCATGTTTCCTTCGCCCCTCGTGAGGAAAAACATCCCTCCTGTACACGTTAACATCAACCAGGGCGAGCAGCCCGGGGCTTCTTTTCATCCATTGCATGCTAGATTACCCCCCCACCCACAATCTGTGCCCCCTCTATAGTCATGTTTCATCTCACGCTGCGGTTAGTGTGAATTGTGGCAGCTGAGCCAGCAAAACTCTACAAACACTTTAATAAGACGGCAGAGAGAACTACAGTAAAGCTGGGACCCCCCCGTCCCCTCGTTTGCACACCAGACTGGTTCAATTCAAGCTGGTTTTAGTCTGTCGGAGCAAATCTGGCTGCGGATCATCAGCCAACTGAGCCGTGATGCAAGTTTCCACACTATCAGGGTTTAGGCTGGTCCTGATCCAATATCTGGATCCGATCGGCCGCCGATATTTGCAAAAAAAATGCGTATCGGCCGGCAGGGGAAAATGCAGATCCAGTTTTTAAAAGCCCAATCCCACTAGAGCATTAGCATCTGTAACCCACAGGTCTGTGTCCTAACCATTAAGTTGTTATCAGAGTAAATCCCTGTTCAACATGAATCTGACAACTAAGTACAGTAGGGGAAATAAGTATTTGACCCCTTGCTGATTTTGCAGGTTTGCCCACTTACAAAGAATGCTTATTTTTTCCTCATCAGATGGTTATCAATTTTTATAAATTCATATGATGTGATTTTCTGGAATTTTCTTTGGGATTCTGTCTTTCACTGTTAGAATGTACATATGATTAAAGTTATAGATTGTTGCATTCTTTGTAAGTGGGCAAACCTGCAAAATCAGCGAGGGGACAAATACTTATTTCCCCCACTGTAAGTAGAATAAATAACTTTAAACTTTAATACATGCTCTGATAGGCCGGGATCGGTATCAGATCAGAAGTTTAAAAAAGCTGGATCGGGACATCCCTATCAGGGTTGTTTTATTTTTCAAAGTTAGGCGCTTAAAACTTTTTTTTTTAAATAAGGGATCTAATATTCAAATCTCTGGAAAAGGAGGGGAGGAACACTTTAGAGCTACACAGGTTGTTAAACACTTACCTCACAATCACACAGGCGAAGTTCCCAAAGTTAAATCTTGAATCCGAGCGCCCTCATGCAGTCTTTGTGGGCCTCGATCAAGTCTCCGCAGTTCTCTTCCCCCTTTTCGATGATGCTGGTGGAGACAGGACAAGGTTCGGGGATGTTTTTTCCGGCCCCGGGCGGCGGGGAAACGCGCTCCGGTTTACTCACCAAGCGTCCCGGACTTTCTTGGTCTCCGGACACGCGCAGCAGGGTTTGAGGGGCTTCTTCTCCTCGGTGCCGGCGGGAGGCTCCACGCTGGCGGCAGAAAGGGACGACATCTTCAAACTAGAACGGGAAACAGAAGAATCATTCCCTTAGCTGGGAAACTTCACCACAGACAAGTCACCCAAGCCCCTTTCTTCAAAATACACACAGTAGAACATTGTGTTCCTTGCTCATAAGAAGAAAAATGAACATTATCACTTGCTAAATCAGTAAAATTACTACTACTAATACAAATACATGGCTAAGAAATGCTGTGGAAAAGGTTATATTCCAAATATTTTCTTTATTTTAATGAGATAAAGTGCTTTGGGCTTCAATACTACCACTGAACAAGGGACTGGTTTGCTAAACATGCTAATATGTAACAGCAAATCTGATCACTGGACAGTAAACTCTAATTTTACTTGAAAAGCCTGACATATAAATATAAAAATGTAGTTCCTTTTGGGGATGAGATCACCAATGTCACAATAAACATCCCTTTTAAATCCAGCAGATGCTTAAATCTGGGCAAAACAAAGGTCATTTCAGCCTTATTAAATCCACAACTTCAAGAGTAAATCCTGTCTTATTGCAAAGAAAAATGGACGGAATATGCCATTTTCTTCACGTCAAAGTCCTTTCACTTCCTTTCCTTTGACTCCTTCACAGAAGGACGATGAACTGACGTAACGGCAGCACATCTGAAATCATCCGTTATCAAACGCGCGCGCTACGTTTTTACAGAAATTCAACAAATACTTTAATGCATCTTAAGGTACTCATAAAAGTCACGACAGGAGCTTTTTTTACTGTTTATTTTCTCGCGGTTTGTGGCTCAAAAGTCTTAAATAACTATGCAACCAGTCGTTGCACAACGCTTACGTAAAGTTAGCCAACACTAGCTAAGTTACGCCACAAAAACTAGCCTCTCGTTAAGGCTCGCGAGCGGACGCACGCGCGTTTAAATCATCTCGACCGTTAAAGCCACATTTCGACGCGTCTCGGGCTTAAAAACGCGGCGACAGCGTGTTTCCAGACGCTTACTCACCTGGATTAGGCACCTGCACTCTCACTAGCCGAGGAATCACCTTCAAAATGAAAGCACCACGCGGAGAGGAGCGTCACGTGGTCGGGTTTATGCTCACGTGACCACAACTGCGAGCTGAGGCTTCTGGGAAATGGAGTAAACTGTTGAAAAAGCTCAAACTTCAGGAAACAGAAACACGAAACAGACCAGATGTGTCAAAAAAGTAAGGCTTTATATTTATTTTTAACATTTTATACACATATTATAAGTTTTTGAAGAATTTTTGGACCTTTAAAGCAGTTTAATGTTGAAAAAAACTCATAAAGGCAAAAAAATACTGCTCCCTGTGGAAAAAGCTGAACTAGCAGAACTAAAACTGTCCTCAAATTATTGCTCTTTTTGTGTATTCTGCAGACTTTCCACAAAAAAATAATTTATCATAATCTCAATTATAACAGATTGTTTACATTGTCTTCTTTCTTTTTTTGCATGTTGAGTCAAATGGGAATAATTGCCCAATTTAGCATCAAAGTAATACAATGTTATCTGCTCTGACACTAAGAGAAAATGCATTTGCTCGAGTTCAATCTGGCCCGCCACAGGATTTCTTGTTTCTCCCACACAGCTTATTTGGACAATCCTGTTATGTAAGGCATATTGCCGGGCACGGTAAGCAGCAACAGTGGCCCGGGAGCTCTGGCATATATGAAAAATGTTTCATTTCTGTTCTACGCCACCAAAAGGGTCGTGCATCTCCGAATTCCCATCGGGTTTACAGTGCGTCAGCACAGAAAAGTAGTGCGTAAGCTCCAGTTTTGAGGGTGAGCTGTGTGCTAGAAAAGCTGGGCAACTCAGCATATTCCTCACGGTGGGTTGCACCTGCTCTCTTCTCTTATCTTGCCACAGCCGTAGCAGCCCTAGATGAATAAAAGAGGTACTGAAATTCCTATTAACTGAGTTTGATTAGAAGCATCTTCCTGATTTGGTCTTTTCTGAATAACACCGCCCCCTCGAGGAGGAGAGGGGAATAGCAGGTCCGGACACCATCTGCCACCTTGTTTTTCTTGCAGCATCCTCTGAAAAATCAGATGTGTAAGCACTTTTTGTTAAGATTATTTTCGTGTTTACTGCAAATAAATCTATACGCAGTGGATAGGTAACTGTAATGATCTTATTAATTATATTACTAACTGTCATAGATGTTTATTTTTGCTGGATGCTTAATGGTAAAGTCTGGGACACTGTGGTAGAAAATCTTCTAAAGTTTAATTCTAACTAATTTACCTGTTAAAGCATTTTCCTGTTGAGATTAGATTAAATGTTCTCAGAATAACACAGAATATCTTCTTATGATAACATATATTAAGGCTTTCATGTGTATAAATCTCCTTTTAACCTTAAATCTCAGGCTTAAATCATCACTTGTAGTTGTTGTAAAGTCTCATGAGCTCACAGGCCTGAAACTTGGCAGTAATCTTTTTACAGATGTCTCCATTTTAGGTCACCGTTTTACTGTTTTTAGGATCATCCCTGGTTTAAATGAGATGCTCTCAGCTTCCAAAACTCACCCAAAACACACATGACTATTCTGGGTGGTGTTCTCATGTGCTCTTTAAATGTCTCCCATCTTTTTGTTATCTTTTGTTGTTCTGGCTCAAAAGTCGATCCGCACGGCCCACTCTCACTCTGCCAAATCTGCTTACCAAAATCAGATTATTACATTGTTTGAAAAGCAAAAAAAAAGTGGATTTGTTGCTCGGCGTTTAAAAGCTATCCGACGGGAAACTACGATAAGTACGACGCCCAAAAACTCTCTAAACCACTCTCTTCTGTTTGAGGTCACTGGAGCCTATTTTGGGACACACTCTGTGCACCTGGACAGGTTGGCAGTTTGACACAGATATAGCAGGAAAAATTGGCATGTTGGACTTTCTCACAGCACTTTTCTTCCTAATGCAATCTTGGAACTAAAAGAATAATCGAACACAGTTGTTTTTGTCTTCTATTTTTGGCTCAATTAAACTCTAACGGAGTTGCTCAAAGCCTGAGAACTCATCTCCTTTCTCTCAGATGCGAGCAACGCGTCTCGCTGACTGTCAGAAAAACTCCTCTTTGCTGTCACATAAAGTAATATCGCCTCTTAATTGACTTAACTCGCCGGCTTGCAATGCACGCTCTCCTTCCCCCCCCCCCTCCGTGAAAATTTATGCCCCAGTTTATCCTCCAAAATATTGCAGCTTCGGCTCTGTTTTCTCTTGATGTGCAAACAAACAAACAACGAGCAGTTGGCTGGCTGTTGCGAGCCTACTGTATGTACAGCATCAGGTAACACAGGGCAGGGTTTAATTACATCCCTGGCAGACTTTCCCCCCCCCCGACTGAACCCAGCACGCGCGGCCAGATGCCTCACACACACGACAATATAATTGTGATCCCTTCCTCACGCACACAGTGCCATCGGTATTAATTCTGGCCGGACTTTGTCCCCCCCCCCCTTTGACGTGGCTTGATTCATGCGAGATGAGACACGGATACTGAAAAGTTGATGAGCGGTGAGAAAGAGAAAGAGAGAAAAAAAAAAAAAAGAAGTGAAGGGGTGGGGGCAGAAATAGAAAGAGGAAGGGAGGGAGAGAGGGAGAGAGGGATTGAGCGGAGAGGCGGGTATCCGCTCGCCTCCCCTCCACACACACTGCTCCAGCCAGCCCCGAGGTTTGGAGGCTTGATATAAAATTACCTCGTGGCCGAGGGGGGAGGTCAGGGCTAACGGGAGTCTGAGACGTCCCGAGAACAAGAAGAAGAAGAAGAAGAAGAAGAGACACACAGCAGCAGAAGAAGAAGAGAAAAGAGAGGCAGAATGGCCTGCTCCTCCAGCTGATCCGAGACCTCTAAAGGGGATAAAGGATGGAGAAACTCAAAGGTCCCGGCGTGGGATGCTCCAGATCCACCTGTGGGTGGAGAGCCCTGCTCCTGCCCCAGCTCAACAGACAGTCGCTGTACGTCTACGGCAGCGAGGTGGCCGTGGAGAAGGAGTGCGTCCGCCAGCTGCAGAGCGGAGTCTTTGTCATTCACCCGTTCAGCCTCATGAGGTATTTAATAAGTCGGGTAGAATTAGGCCAGTTCCGCGCGTCGCTCGGGACTATTTCGGGTTCGTTTCCCCCCGCGCGCGAACCGAGGGATGATCGCTGACGAGTCAAAACAAATGTCATCCGTGTTTGAACTGAAGCCAAAATGTCACTGCTTGTCAGAGAGCAGGGAGACAAATTGTTTGGCTTTTTTTTTTTTACAAGTGATGACATGTCAGATATAGTGAGGCAACTGCCTCCAAGACACAGATTTACAGTTTGTTTATTTACAGAAAAGGATTCAAAGGTTTGGAGGGCTTTGCTGGAAGAATAAAAGTGACTTGTGAATGAGGAAATGTTTTGGGATGAGACTAATCTTCTCCAACATTTTTATTCAATGACTAAACAAAATTGAATTTAGTGATTTAAGTCAAAATTATTCATTAGATAAAATTCTACTTTATGATACCTGTTTATTGCATCACAGCTTGATATTTTTATTCTTTGAATTTGTTGGTTTTAGACCCCTTAATGTGCTATTTTTTCTGCTTATGTGGGAACTTCATAAGACAGACCTATTTTATCCTCATATTTTCCCAATTTTTGGCCCAGAGGGATTTTTTTTCTCATTCATTCAAACATTGTAAACAAAGGAAAAATTAGCGTAATGCATGATTTTCGTTCTCATTACACTCATGTTTTGGGGGGGCGAGACTTTAAGATGGCTGTGATGGATGAGAAGTTAAACAGATGTCTCATGTGGCTTCTTTAAGGATCGTGTTTTCAGAGATGGTTGGGTTTGCTTTATCTGCGCGCTATTGTTATTAGTCTGTAAGGTGATCATATGGAGTGAAAGCAGAGAGCCAATGAAACAATTGGGATCAGAGAGCAGAGTTATTTGAGCCGGGCAATCTAACCCCTCGCTGAGGAGATGTGCAGTTACATTATCAGAGTGTTTAGTGTGCATAAATCAGCTTGTCTTGTTGGCTGCTGCCGGTCGGGCGGCCTAATGAGCTCCTCCTGGCAGACGAACTGAGACTTTCCGACTGCAGATTTACACGGAAAACAAGATCTGAGAGGCTTCTCGGAGGTCACCGGCGCCGGCGTAATTTGCGCTTCTGTGGTCTTGCTCCGGCAGGAGCTACTACATCATGTGCATGATGGCCATCACCTTCCTGAACCTCATCGGGATTCCCATGGAGATCGCCTTCCTGGACGGCCATAGCGGCCTGGCCTGGGAGAGCTTCAACGTCTTCTCCGACACCCTGTTCCTCATCGACGTGGTCCTGAACTTCCGCATGGGCATCATCCCCGAGGACGCCGAGGTGAGAGTGGCCGCGCTCTATTTTCAGACGCCGTCTGCCCCCCACCGCCATAATCCCCCCCCCGGCTCATACAATCCACCCCTGCCCCATCTGTAATCTACTCCATACACGAAAGGCTCGGATTAACTAACCCGGCGAGCACCGTTCGGGGCCACGGGCTCCCGTTGGCACCTGCTGTTTGATTTTATAACGGGGGATTATGATGTTTTGGTTAAATGAGTCTATATCGTTGACTATTAAGCATTTTTCCGGGTAAATCCTGTTTGTTTTCATCGACTCCGGGGGCTTTCTGGCCAATCACAAATGGCCCATCTGTGGAGTTTCCCACGCGAGCATCTGGCTTTTTCCAGGTTTATTCTCAGTTTAAACCGTTTAAAATATGCACGATGCCGTCCCAATGGAGGTTCTCGTTTCGGAGCAGCCCCTCTGATCTGACCCGGCATCGCGGTCGCCCTTCATTTTGAACTCGCCACCAAAATATTGGCTCAGACCGGGTCTTAAATTATTCACGCGATTGCGGCTCCGGCTGCGCGTCCCTCCTCATCCATATGCTGAGTCCCGCTGCTCTTTTTCAGGAAGCTATTCTGGACATCAAGCGGATCCGAGTCAGCTACCTGAGGACATGGTTCATTCCAGATGTTATAGCAGCTTTCCCAATCGGATACATTCTCCTGTTTGCGGTAATGATGAGCAGACTGTTAAAAGCTGAAGGCCAACAATGTGCTGGCCCTATTTTTAGATGATTTGAGCGTGTTAAAAAAGTTGAAAGGCTTTTTGTAGCAACTACATGCCCTTTTTTTTTTCTCTGCTCACAGGACCTACATTACCAAAATGAAAACAACCCCTCCAAGACCAACAAGATGATGAGGATACTGATGTTTGTGCGCATCCTCAGCTTGATCCGACTGGCTCGGGTCTCCAGGCTGGTCAGGTTCTTCAACGAAGTGGAGAAAGTACGAGCCCCCCCCCCCCTCTTAATGCCCACTCAGCAGTTCTTCCCCTCCTTCTGAGGCCTTTCCACACCTGGTTCTGGTGAAAAACCTGAATAGCGAGTGTACATAATGTAAAAAAAAAGGCAAAACAGAGAAAAAACACATTCTTTTTTAACTCATTTCACTAACAGCTGCGAGACTCAATGGAAAAATAGCTTCACAGGTATAATAAGGTCATTTATTTGAGATTACTCAACAAATGCATTGATTTTTTTTATCTTTTTTTATCAGGTGTGACACACAATTAACCCCTACTGAACTGGTTTTGTTAAGAATCCTCATTTATCATGACTGGAGTTCCTGTTTACTTGTTGTTACCAGAAACTAAACAAATAGGACCCTATCTACTGTCCCCGGTGCTGTAATCCAATAATTGTGTGTTTTTCTGGGACGGGGTTTGCAGCTCTGAGCCTTTTCTGGACGGTTGTGTGACCTCAGTGTCTTTTGTCTGCCGCTCCGCCTCAGTCACCTCAACCATCGATCGGCTAAAAGCGTGAACACGTACCGGCTTCACACCGGAGCTGTTTTTAAACACGACGTTAAAAAATGGAGATCGATCGCCTAGTTAGGTGAGGGGGGGCAAAGTGAAGGCGTGCTGTGGCATTGAAACAAGGCTAAGAAAGAAGGATGACAACAAACCAGTAAAATTAAGAAAAATGCTGGTTTTTACACATGAAAAAACCCCACATTTGAACACAACCCTGAGGGAAGGTGCAGCATGGCCACTGTTTGGGTGAATTCATCTGAAACACATGACTTATGTTCTCTGTGTGTTTCACTGTGAATCCATCAGTAAGTGCTAAGGAGAAATATTGACTCTTACCAAATCTTCATAATGCTGAGGTTAGAAAATGCTTTTTTTAGTCAATACAGAGCTCATATGTCGGCATGAGTTTTCCAGGGTTGGTTTACAACATTCAGCTCAAAATGAACCATTATTCTTCCATGTTATACTCATAATCATGTATTTAACTGAGGTGTGTTTGACGCCATAATACAGTCTGAGAAATAATCAAAGATTTTCTGTATAGTAATTGTATAGTAATAGTATGGTAATTGATTCCTCTCATTTTATTTTTATTTTTTAACATGAAATCTGCATTTAAGGACCGCAAAGCCAACATTTTGAAAATACTTATAGGGCTGATTCTGACCATTTCCCGTCGCATTTAGCCAAAATATGTGAAAGAGAGCCCCTTTATATTTAACTCAACTATATCATGAATGAATTTTTATGAGCTGTTTGTTATTTTTTCACCTCTTTCCATCAAAGGGCCACAATATCCCTTTCTCCTGTTTTTCAATTTTTCTGGATGGATTCAAAACGGGGGAAAAAACACTTTTGCAAGTCTGTCTTTCATATAAATTGCGTACATTTCTGCACTAATAGTTGATGTGGAAACCCACAGTAGTAATTCAAAGATAGGTACAACCATTTGGAAGAAGACGCTAACGATGATGAAAGATTCATTCTCTCCATTAGTCCACTTTTGATTGACTGAACTGACCACTGCCGTGTACACATTTCCCCTGTGATGGGAGTTATTCAATTATTGAAGGTGTAAATTAAGTGGTTTGGATAATCTGACTAAACTGTTGGCTTGTTTACAGCCTGTCTGATCATTTGACCGCTCGAGTTTCTTTCTCCTGCTTCTTACCGGAGTGACCTTTGATAGTAAAACAGATATTTTCTTCGTAAAAGTGAGAATCTGTACTGAATTTGCTCCTGGCAGGTGTCAAACGCAAACCTGGAGGTGGTGCGGCTGTTCTTCCGCATCTTGTCTCTCTTCATGATGATCTTTTTGCTGTGCCACTGGAACGGCTGCATCCAGTACTTTGTGCCCATGCTGGAGGAATTTCCCACCGACTGCTGGGTCAGGAAAGAGAATCTGATGGTGAGAACGGACCCAAACTGTAAATGGAGGAAGTGTCAGTGTTGATTGGTGTTAATGAGGAATCTGTGAAGGGGCCTGCCAGTTTGTATAAACTACTTTCAGTCTGAAGAGATTATTTTAGACAAGTGACACCACAATAAATAAATAAATAAATCTATGTATTCTATTAACCTGAGTTGTGTAAAATACAGCAGATACAAGACAGTGAATCAGCTATCGACAGTACAAAGAAATCTACAACCTATTAACTTTTACTTTTTTTTCAGAATGCGACGGTCATCGTAAAATACTCCTGGGGAGTTTTCCGAGCACTATCCCAGATGATAGCTCTCTCTTATGGCTCCATGGACGCTCCCACAAGTAGGAATCTAATTTTTTATACTTAAACACTTAAAGATATTTAAGAATAGATGTGGACCCCTGTCAGCGGACCAGACGTTTTGCTGCCTTCCCTTCCAGATTATGTGGAGATGTGGATCGTGATGGTCAGCATGGTGTCCGGCTGCCTGATGTACACCGTCCTGGTGGCTAACGCCACAACCATGATCGCCAACGTTGACCCGGCAGCCAAAGAATACAAGAGCAAGGCAAGGAGTGACATCTGGACTCCATTACAGTTTCCTTTAGCAGGGATGCCTCTCTTTTAAGCCTTTCAGTCGGGATGTTGGAGGCCTCTCCAACCGATCAACAACCTCCTCCAGGATTTCTGTCATTTCCTTTTCCCAAACGATTACTATCGAAGTCTTGAATTAGTTTTTTGTTTTTTTATGAACTTTTTATTTTCAGTAACAGTTTTGTATCAACACATACACATTTCCACCCCTGTCACAATTCACATCTTATTTATGCCGATCATTCCGGATATTCAACCCACACCAAGGAAGCTGGTCGAACAAGTCCAGCTCTGCCAAAAGTCATCCAGGGAATATTGATGAAGGAAACAGTCCAGCCGAGAAGTTGAATTTGTATTTTAATAAGGATCCTGTCATCTGAATATTTTGTAGTTGCAATGAGTTGATACTTGAGCACTTAATCAATACTGGGTGTTTATTTAATCACAACATATGTCGCTAGCACATGTTCATCCCTATAATACCAAATGTATCATATCTGATTCATACGGTTTCTGAAGTCTTTTGGATCTGAGACTTTTTGCATCATTCAGTGGTAAAAGCTTTGCTCAAACAGCTGTTGTGCACATTCAGATATACCTGATAACAGCCAGTAGAAGACTGCACCAACATATATTTTTGACTTATTGCACGCTAATTTGAGAAAATAATTTAGTTTTTTTCTTCTTCATATGTTGTTGAGGGGCCAAAGAAAGACTTCAGACTAAAAAAAATCCAATATTCTTCCTATTTTTCTTGGATCGGGCTTTAAAGGGTTATGAGCGATGTGAAGGAATTATTCATTTATTCACCTTACTTTTTCTTTTTAAAAAGATTTTATGTGTTTCTTGTGTTTTTATGTGTGAAAAAGTTGCCCATAGTGGGACAAATAAAAGCTACTGAACTGAGCTCCTCTAACTCCCGACAGATGAGCCGTTTGGAGCATTACATGGCCTTCATGAAGCTCCCGCCCGAGTTGCAGCTCCGCATCAGCAACTACTACCAGGCACGTTACGGAGGGAAGTGGTTCAACGAGAAGGACGTCATGGACGTAGTGTCCACATCACTCAAAGAGGTGAATGCCTGCGTCTGATTTGAAACCTTTTTTAATCCGCGGACGTAAACAGAAAGCACCGGTTTGTAAATGTAGTGGATGATAATGATAGCTAGAATAGAGGAAGCAGAAGAGTCAAAGAAAAAGGCTGAACGGAGGAATCATTTGAAAAGCTGAAAATCACCAAGTACAAGAAGATATGAACCAGCAACCTCTGGATGGGCAGTTAAACGCTCTACCACTGAGCTATACCACAGGCTGAAAAGCTGCAAAGGGGCAAAATGCCACTGACCATTAGATGGAGCCATGCTTTTGATTCCATTCATTTCAATGGGAGAAAATAAAAGCAGAAAAATTTAAATAACTTAAAAAGTTGAAAAGATTTGAACACCAAAAGTCATAGCTGCATAGTGCTAAAGGACCTGAACATGTTGATACCCTATTTGTTGACACAGGCTCATAACCGTGGGCGTAGTTAGACACAGAAAAAGTGAAACAGGAAAACAATAGTGTTAATCTGAAGACATATCTGTTCAGAAGGAAACGGTTAAAAATCCCAGCAACAGAAATGCAGGTGGAGCTTCTCTTGACTGTAGCTCATCTAAATCTGACTTTTCTGTTTCGGATTCATGGTCTGGCGAAGAACGACACCACCCAGCTCTCCGTTCAACAGCTTGCATCTAGTGTAGTACTAAACCTGCTCATCAGAGCTGACAAGCAGAAGCTAGTTTTAGGTGCTCCCATATGCTCCCATCCAGACGACACATTTTTCAGCGAGGCCCATTTGGACTATGCTAAAGCACGTATAGCATCTATTCCAACAGCGTGGCTCCTAATAGAGTCCAGGAGATGGACTGACCCCTCACAGGTCCTCATCAAATATTCGTTGTATAACACAAAATACAGCAAAACGTCTCCTAATAACTTCCAGATCGAGATGAATTGTTAACAAATGTACTGTACATATTTGTGATCCTCTTAACCCTTTCGTGCATAGCGGTCCATGCAGTTGACTGTTTTTTAGAAGCTTCTTTCTTATGTTTATTTAGGTTTTTATGTCTTAAATGAGCATAGTGGACACTGAAGCATCATGCAAAAAAAAAAAAAAACACGTCCACAATAATATCCTGTCAAAGAGGAGCTGAGATAGACTAACATAAATCAATCTGTTTATTTATTAACAAATCAAATATGTTCAAATTGGTAAATCCAGTATTTCATTAGTAAGAAATCATAGAACCCATGCTGTCCACCTGGGAATCTTGAAAAATCCTTCGACAAACACATTTTTGACCAAAAAAACCTTCAACTTAAAAAAAATGCTTTAGGAAAATCCAAAACACTTTTGGGGGGGAAAAAACCCCAGATTTAAATCCTCATAATTCATGCATGAGAGGGTTAAATCATGTTGTGTTATCTGCATATTTTTCAGAGAATGTTCAAGTTGGATTTGGGGTCACTTCTTGTTCCCTTCTTTCAGCAAATCGTGACGGTGATGTGCGGCCGGCTGCTGAAAAAAGTGCCCATGTTTCAGAACAGGGACGAAAACTTCATCAACGCCATCCTCCTCAAGCTGGAGTACGAGGTCTTCCAGGAGGGCGACGTCATCGTTCGGCAGGACGTCCCCGGCGACCGCATGTTCTTCATCGACCACGGCGAGGTTCTCATGGAGATGGACTCCTACGAGAGGGAGCTCTGTGACGGAGACTTTTTCGGAGGTCGGTTGAATTGTTTTTTTGGTTCAAACTCATTAGGAAACAGCTCACTTCCTCCATATGTCCAAACACATGCAATTGATGAATTGATGGTTAATTGATGACTCTGAATTGCTCCTAAAAGTGAGCGTGCGTGGTTTATTTTTGTCGATTGGCATACCATTTGGGAAATATTCCGCTTCCTTCCAGCTCTCACCCTGTTGGATGGGGTAAAAATGGATGGACTGAATACGTCAGAGATTCTCCACCTAAAGTTTTCATGTTTTTTAGAGTCAGATTAGACAGCTTTCTCATTTCTGAGACGTAATTAAAAATCATCTCATACATATTTTCTCCAACAAGAGTTGAGGGCTCAGTTTGGGGATCAGTATACCCAGGTTGTCGGTTTTTGTTGGGGTCAAAATTCTCTTTCTCTTTCTGTTACTGACTCCCAGCCCTAAAGTCTTTCTTTTTCTGAGCATACAGACAAAAACCGACTCTCCGTTAGCAAACGAAAACTTGCTGTGATGAAAGAATTATTTAAAAAACCAGACCAAAAGGAAGTAAATCCCATTTCAATGCTTTTGGAGGGCTTTTTTTTAATTGTCAGGCTTTAAGGAAGAACAGATTCCAATCTTCCATGGATCAACACTAAGCATCCTTTCCCCCACAACTCAGCTGAGTCATTTAATTTGGGATTAATTGTAAGAGGGTTTAGGCGCTCATTAACAACGCTCTTCTGGTTCCTTCTGTGACCACAGAAACATGTGTGCTGACCAAAGGCAAACATCTGGCCACGGTGAAGGCGATAACCGACTGCCAGTGCTTCTCTCTGTCCTGGGATGACTTCCAGGACGTGCTTCAGGGCTTCCCAGATGTCAAGAAAGACGTAGAAAAAATGGTCCAGCTCATCTCCGAAGATGAACTCATGTGAGAACAAAAAGAAGCACATGGACTTCTTTAAAAAAGACAGAAGCTATGCATTTAGAGAGCAGGTGGACGGACTTGGATGCAAAGATATATTCAATCTCAAAACGGACAAGTTAGAATATATAATCAGTCTAGGACTACTATTTCTTGTCTCATCCCTCAGTAATCCAGCAATAAACAAACACCTGAACAGCAAACAGTCAAACGTGTGGTCTCAGCTTTCTTGTTGTGAAAGTTGCGATTTATAATTGATGTTTGAAAAGCATATGCATGTCCAAAAATGACGTGAGAAGCCCTCATGAGAAATTCAGCTGTCTCAAAGCTGCATGGAAAACAAGATCCCCAAAGAGAAGCCCTGAAAATGATTGTGGGTGTATCCGGTATCTATGGCAGGAGGGAAGAAATGTGTAGAATAGTTATTCATTCGACCAGTCCTGGATTATTGGGTCATTTTATATTTCTATCGGCCACAGATGTGTGTGTCATCATTGGTCGAATACAGGCAGGTGTGTAATCTTTTCTTCTTTTTGGCCCAAACTTCCAAGATTTCTGTTCAGGGTTTTTTTGAGGTTCCCAATCTTAATCAATGTGTTCTGTGTTTTTTAAACCTAATTAAATATATCTGAGTGCTAAACCTGTGGAGGAGAGAAGTCAACAGTCTTATAAATTACTTACAAACGAATTTAGTAGTTCAAAATTAAGCAGAATGAACAAAGAAAAGTGTTTCTCTTTCATTTGTGAGGCTGCCATTCGGTCTGTTTGCTGCTTGATGCAATTTGAAGAAACAATCTTATGTTAATGCCTCCATGGAAGTATCTGTCAGCCTCGACCTCAGCAGAAATAACAGGTTTCAGGATGTTCAGATCTAAAAAAACAGCCATTATTGCTGTTTAGATTATTCTATACGTTGGCCACATGTCGATTAGGAGGGCAGCAAAGTCACAAATGGAGTTTTTGCCCGGTTTGACTTCTGTGAAACCCGACCGAGAGCTGCCCACAGTTCAGATTGTTCCTCATTATTTCTCTGACTGCTCCCAAGTGACAGCAAAACACCGCACCACGTAAACATGTCTTTGCAAAGCCCCAACACGAAGAGATCAAAGAACCACGTTCAAAGCTTCACTCATCGCTGCCCAGGGGGACTTTCACATCAACTTAGCTTTTTCTTAGATTCTTCTCTGGAAATAACAATTTGTCTCATTAATGTAGCTCAGATCTTTACCCCCGATTGCGTTTTAAACAATTAGTCTGGACAGGAGACGCTTTAAAAAAGGCGAAACCTTGTTTTTCTTTAAATAAAACGCCACGTTGACTCAGATGACCTGAAAAGTAACAAAAGTAAAAATCAAAATGGTCATCGTATGGGGTGGTTCACATAATAATGAATGATTTATGTGAGAGCAGCAGGTTGTTTTAATCGCTTACCTTTTTACAGGCAATTATTGGACATTTTATTCTAGGGCACAGTGAGATTGGGATGGTGCAAAGTTCAAAGTTCAAGAGGTTTCCTATTAAATTCCTAAATTGAATTTTTAGCTTTATTCCGAAAGCCTTGACATGAGCAGTGCTTTCTGACATGACACCAATTAAGTTACATCTTTACATCAGAGAACAAGGGTTGGCATTTTTTCTAACTAAAACTAAAAAAAAAGGGGTTTGTTGCCTGAAGCTAAATCTGAGAGGGAACCGGATCAGAAAACCACAACAGCCTTAAATGGACCTCAAACAAGCTTCCGATTCCATATCTCCAGCTCTGAAACTTTCTCCATTTTCCACACCTCCAACCCTGTAACTCAAGACTTGTTTCCCGGTCCTCAACACAGGAGCCTGAGGATGTTGCTGAGATCTTATTTGGAAACAGAAATAGCAAAGGGCTGGCCATCTCAGCTTAGAAAGCAGGTGGACTTCAAAATAACAGCACATCTGGCCATGATTTAATTAGCCCCACGTCTCGTCCTCAGCTGAGCTACATCAAAACTGGGATTTTCACTAATTACGCTGACCTTAAAAAAAGTTTCCAAACTTCAGTATTATGACAGAATAGGATCTCCTTAGGACTGTTTTGGCTCAAAATAAATATCTAAGGAGATTTTTTTCTTCTTTATAACCATCTTTTGCAGATGCTACAGATTTAAACAGGGAATTTTGGCTGGATGGAGAGTTTTTTATGATGTTTTAGTTGTGAAAATACTGTGGTTTGGTGGTTTGTCTGATGTAGAACAACGATAAAGACCCGTTTACATGGCGTAATATTTTATCACCTCCATGGCGTGGATTTGTGCATTTTTCATAAATAAAAAAACATAGATTGTGATTCCTCTGATTGGAAAAACGGTCCACTGACTCAAACACTACATTGCAGGATTACTGGGGCAGACTTATTTGTGAGAGCTGTTTTCGAGGGCTTTTCTGTAAGTGTATTTCTGCAAATCAGCTCTGAAAAAGAGCACTTCATAAACAAACCGTCCTCCGAGCTTTAATCTTAAACATATGTTTCTTTAACATTAACTGTAATCCATCGAGTTCTCTCTTAAGCCCCTTACTGAGTGGACTGTGGACTGATATGAGATTTTTTTTTTGTTACGTGTGTTATCCTATAGCTCCTCTCAGCATAACACCCAGAGCCTGTTTACTATGACCGTCCACGTTGAGAGGAAATGTGCCATAACATCAGCGCTAATTATCTTTAAAACTATATTATTCTGTTTCAGTGGTAAATTGTGTCTCCAGCAACCAGTTAAATTTTTAACAACTGGGTTTATTTTTGGTTTACAGCTTGAACTGTTGAGCCATCAAAGCCCTGTTTTTGCTCACTTTAAAGGGAGCAAAAACATTTGTTTCCTGTATCGGCAAAAGGAAATTTGCCACGTCAGCAAACAAAGAAAGACAACGGAAGGTCACGGCTCCACAGTATTAAATATTCAGTTTATTTTCATACCGCGAAGATAGATGCAGCATGCGTTATTCCCCACGGGAGGCCTGTGTTTTTTTCTGTCACATTAGTCTTTTTGGGCTGAGAACTGAATATTTAATCTTGTGCAGCTGGATTTGGAGTACATTTGCAACATTTCTATGCAATTAAATCAAGTCGATCAACTCTGTTATTTGTTACATTATTGATTAGCTTCAATTAAACCCAGAAAACTGCCCCACCACATTAGTTGATAGTCTCTTATGATATGCAGTTACAACTTTGTGTCCTAGTAAACCTAACTTTGTGGATGCCGATAAATATATGTGGTCCTTTAATCCTAAAGTCTTGCTATCAGGATTTAAGGCAAAAAAAAGGTGAAGCTTAGTGAACGGATTACATAAACGAAGGTCACCACAAAGATAAAACTGCTAATTCAGTGTGTGCAGCTGTATTTGTCCGGAGAAAGGTCACTGAATTGCTGCGTCACTCCAGATTACCATCTGTATAATGATGTTAAATAAACACGGACGATAAAATTTTAATGACCTCTGCTGCTGGGGAATCACACAGACATCACAGCATCAATGCTTCACCTTGTCCTAAAAACCTTCAGGCTTACACCCCCATCTCATGGTTGTTGAGCCTCTATGCATATAAAAGAAACTCCTTGCGTGTTCTCTTTGGATATTTCACCTTTCTTCCACTCTCCAAAAACATGTATCTTTGGTAAAGTCTTTTTTCAATAAATAATTGCAAACATCGATGTATTAATAGTGTGATTTTAGAGTTAATTCAAGAAAAAAAAGTTAGTGAGATATTATACGAATATAGCAAGACTTGTATTAATGGAATATAAAAAGAAAATACTAATAACTACGGGATAAAAAAAAACAAAATAACAGCAGCAATACAAATAGTGGGGTTTGAAACTTATATCAAACATGGAGGGCGCACGTGAGACAAGTCGAACGTGTAAAACAGACGAAGAAGAAAGTACTTCCGCCTAAACCGGAAAAGGCGCCAAAATCAAAACGTTTACTTTTTTTTGTACTCACAGGGGGAGACTGGACGTAAACAAACCGATTCCTAGCTTTCTAAAACACGTTTTTTTTCTTAAACTAGTTGAATACTTTATGCTCCTGTCTGTAAATGGATCCCACGTCGAAATTCTTCGCCAAACTGAGAAAGCTGGCGGTGACTTTGGAGTCAGAAACGTCCAGGCTTCAAAACACCTTTGAGAACCGAAACGACGACGATGACAGCGGTGAGGGACCCGGACTCAACCCGACCTGTGTCCAGCTCCAGCTATTTAGCTAATTAGTGTCCTTTTTATTGCAGAAAGTAAAGCCAGAGGAATGCGGGCCTATCATGACCTGAACGAAGAAGTCGGTAATCTAAAGGTTAGCTTTTAATATACACCTTAATGTGTCAAAAACAAAATAATCTGATCAGTCCACCAACATTATTCAAGTCTTTTTAGAGACACTATGTCTGATTTATTACCGTTTACAAGTAACTAACTAATAGTTGAGAAAGTCTTTTGTTTTCAACAAAGCTATAACTTTCCAAAACAGATGCAAACCATCTTAGGTGTGCAAAAATGTGCCTTTTGTGTCTTTTCATATGCTTTATCTTTAAGAATTTAATCTGTCCTTATTTCATTATTAATATCCTGTTAAATGTTTTGATTTGAGGAGTTGGAATCAGCTTGTTGCTGTAAAAACACTATTTTCTGTCTGTCAAACAATGTTAATTTAGCCATTTTCTGGGATAACAAAAGAAATTACAACAAACCGTGTACTTTTTTTTGTTTTTTACAGCCTTCTAGTGAAAAAAAGTGACTTAAAACACTAAGTATAAGTTGTCTATTTTGTGTCGAGACAATGGTGGTTGATCTTTGAGTTAGGTGCATTTTAAATTCTTGGGTGATTCAGTTTGAGGTTTTTCAACAAACCAAAGGAAAAACAAATTCTTCTGAAAATGTCAGGTTCGTGGACTGGATCTCTATCTACCTTGCAGCTACATTTATGAACTCTTACTCTTTCCTTGCAGGGAAAGATTCGGAATGAGTTAGCCGAGCAGAAAAAACGAGAGAGCGACGTGGACGGCTTCCTTCACGCGTGTAAAGTGATGGAGCAGAGAGTGTCTAATGACATTCAGAATCTCAGGACACACCTCGGAAAATATGGCTACCAAGCTCCTTGTGACAGCCAGAGACCAACCAGTAAGCCAGCAAAATAACTCACAAAGAAAAATGTCTTTAAAGATTCTTCCTAACTCCTTGGTGTCTTACACAGAGCTGAATGATGGGGAGGCAGAAGGCGAGGAAAAAGCATCGGATGAGGATGGAACCAACTCGGCCGTTGGAGAGGAGGGGGTCCAGAACGAGGAGGAAGGCGCCGTTTTGCAGTCGCCTCCAAAAATGGCGCCGTCCCTAGCGGACGCCATGCGGACCCCTCAGCTCTCGGACTTCGGCCTGTCGGAGATGCAGCTGAAGAGGGTTCTGGCCGGGGCCGAGTGGTGCTCCGAGGTCCCCCCCATGCCCCAGATGAGCCTCCCCCACCCCGCGCTCAACACGCCGCCCCCCATGCCCGTCACCCCGAAGTGCGCCCTGCGGATGGACGACGAGGAGCTGCAGACGCCGCAGATGCACCACTTCGGCATCTCGGAGCACACCGCCTGTCTGAACAACGACTTCACCATGGATCTGTTCCAGAAGAACCCCGGGAGGTAGCTCACTGCCACAGGGCCCATTGGCCATAAAGACGTCGTCTTAGTTTATAGCCTCTGACTTTGTCTTTATATTTTTCCTGGGTTAATAGGTCCAAAGATGGAAGCATGCCCACGATGGACTCTGTAATGGAGAGTTTGCAGGCAAGAGGTATGAGATGTTGAAGATTGCTCCTCGTCTACCGTCTCCTTCTCTCTCATCTGGAACTGACCTCTAGCCAAAGGAATTGTCATGTACTGTATTTCTTTTTGTTTCCATAGTTAATTGAGTGCCTGGTTTCATAGTAACATATATCTTGACTTCTGTTGTGTAACGTCTCAGAGCTAGAATTGTCCCACTTTTTGTTTTCCATCCAGACTGTAAGCTGTTTTTAACATTTCAAGCCTTTTCTGCTACTACTCCTTTCATTCATGAATGTCTTATCCAAATTCTAAAATATTTTAAATAATATCTGTAATATCTGTTCAGTTTAAAAATAAAAAATGTGGCTTTCCTACATTCCTACATTTTTAAGTTTTTTGCCAATAATTTAGCTGCCTCACCTGCCAGTCATGTTGGAGAAATGATGGCCTCTGTATTCTAATAGGTGAATGGAGGGGAAGGCCTTTTAATACCAGGGCTCTTATTTTGCAGAATTATAGCAGTGAAACCTTGGAGTTAATAGAAAATCCCTGAAACATGTACATTTTTTTTAAAATGTTGGTTTAAATAATTTTTCTACACAAAAGTGACAAACTGTGTTGCCAATACCACATCCTAAATGTCATGATTTGTAACTATAGCAAAACCATCATTTCTAACCCTAAAAATGAGATTAACGCCTTAAAATTCAAGAATAATTAAAAAGCATAAAAAGCTGTTCTCACTCCTTTATTGGTATTCCTTTCTGTTGTATCTTTAGCTAGCACCATGGCATCCCCAGAGCCGCCTGTATTTTGCACTCCGGGGTTTAAGATCAAAAAGGCAAACGGTCCCGACTCCCCACCGGCTCAGAGCGGGGGCCCAGATCTCCCCTTCGGCCCCCCCCACCTGCCCTCCACCCCGGAGGTCCCGGCCTTTGAAACTCCATACGTGAACAGAGTGGTCAGCTCCAAAAAAGTATAACGTATTTTTTTTACTTTTTAAATGTATTTGTGTATTTAAAGATGGCTCCCTCGGCTTAAATCTGTGCCTTTTTGAATGTGCGCAGAGTGCCCGCCTCCAGGGTCGAACTCCTGCCTGTAACGGGGCGTCTGAGGCCGAACGCTGCTGGGAGGACGGCGTCCCCGACATGGAGATGCCAAACCTGGAGTCTGTTTTAGGAAGCTCTTTGCAGAATGTAAGTCCGAAAAGGGGGAGTTCAGCCAAGTGCTGATTGTACATATTTTAGTCACTCAAATCTCTGCGCTGTGTTGCTTCCTTGTATATATTTGTTTGTTTTTGCTGTTTGTACTTTATGCACCTTTTCTTCCTTTTGAACTCTCTTTAGTCACTAAACCGATGTGTGACCAGTAAATTTCTCCACTGTGAGATCAATAAAGCTCTTTTATCTTAAGAATTAAATAAAATAAATATTGATAAACATAAATTAAATAGATTCTGATTCTGATACAAACCCTGTTGGTCCAGGGAAGAGTCTCACCTGCTCTGAGAAGGGTCTGTCCTCCCTTTGCTTAGAGGAGGTTGAGGCCCCTCCATGTTTTCTTTACTTTACTCACCTTTAGGAGCTTTATCTTACTTTCTAGTAAGGGTTCACAGACTTTCAAGTTTTACACTTTTTTGCAAAACGGCTGAAAAGAGAAACGACATCCCAGCTCAGAGCAACTTTTTCCTTTGCTATTACGCTTTTTAACTTTGATTTTTGTAAGTAGTATGTTTTTAAATGTTTTTTTTCTTATACTTGACATAAAAACAAAGAAGTAACCTTCAGATGCAACAAAAGAATGTGAAAAGTCTTTCAATTTAGTGTTATTCTTTGTATTTTAAAAATGGAATAATCCTTTAAGTAAAATCAATTTTGCTTAATTTTTTTACCTTTTAGAGAAATGGAAAAATCCCACAGCTCAGTGAGACTGAAAAGCTTGGGAAGGACCCTGCGGTCAGTAGTCTGGAGCTGGACGGACCCACCGAGGGGTTCAGTTTGGGGACGCCTCGCATCAGGACAAACTTTCAAGAGCCCAGCACCCCCGAGATGCCGGACCTCAGCTCTGTGACGCAGGACATTTGCAAAGTAAGCGCAAAACCAGCCCTGCTGATCACCGAAATGTGTCAGATCTAAGGCCTGAGTCCAGCCCTTTCCCACCTGGTTCTCCTGTTGTCGTGCAGCTGTTGGCTCAGGCGCAGAGGAAGAAGACAGCTGCCGCAGACATGCATCAACAAACCCTTCTGGAAAAAGCCAGACGCAGGTAAATAAACCAACAACCTTCTTTACGCAAAGGCAGAAAGCCGCTTCGTTCCAGTGAATCTGATGCCGGCAAAAGAACTTCCTTTTGAATTTTATTGTTCTTAAATATGAACAAAAGAGATCCAGTTGCAGAAACGGCTCAATGTTTATCAGATTTTTTAAAATGTTATCAATAATGTCACGATCTATCCTCCTCTGCACCACATTTTAACCCATTTTTTAAAGTTTTTAGATCTCCTTATTCAAGCATTTCTTTTGTGGTAGTGAGCACAAGTGTCCAAATAAATTGACTATTTTACATCTGTTGACCTGAAAAGGGTTAATGGAAAAAGGCAGTAGCCAAACACAAAGCACATTCGAAATAAAAATGAATTTTGACATTCATTTGTGATTTAAGGTTGTTTTTTTCTCTTTTGCTTTATTTTTTCGCTCTTTTGCTGGAGCTGTGCTAGCATTAGCCACACTTTGAAACTCCAGTCTGGGGGATGAAAATAAATTGTTAACAGACAACTCCCTTTAGGGCAGACTAAAAAAGTCTTTAGCCAAAACACTTCTACAAGATACTCAAAGAGGAAAGTGCTGAGTCACAGGTGTCAGACTCCTGGAGGGCTGTTTCCCAGCATGCTCTATGTTTTTGCACCTGATTAGAATCAGTGTACCGTTAGCAGACTTGTACAGACCATAATAATGTGTTAAAACAGAACCATGTGAAACCTGCAGGACAGCCGCCCTACTGGACCGGAGTTTGAGATCCCTGCTCTAAATATTGCAGAGACATCAACACAAGATAAAAAAAAAGACTGTTTAGATCTTAGTTTCTTTTCAGTATTTTAGTTTATCTGGACAAATGTCATTTCATCTGATAAAAAATCTGACACTTCTTTACCTTTTTCTGTTCTTGCCCATTGATACACGTCGCTTTTAGTTAATTTATGTGTCCACTGACATATTTGAGACCTATATATTACATATAGTTACTTATGTATATATTTATTTATTTTTGTGTGGAATTTTGTAGATATATGTGTATATATGTATAGACATGTGTATATGCTGTTGTACTTCTGGAGTTGGTGACAAAAATAATTTCCCTCTGGGACTATTAAAGTATTTCTGATTCTGATTATGTCTTCTCAGTCCTCTTCCTCCGGCGGAGAGCGTGTCGGTGGTGTCTCAGAGCGAGTTTCAGACGTTGCCGTACTACCTGAGGACAATGAGTCTGAGCAGCCTCAACCAGGCCGTCAACAACATCAACAGATTCACAGAAGAGCATCGAGGTGAGCGCTGCCAAACCCTAAAAGCACAGACGATCATCACCCTGTGATCACCCGGTCAAGTGAACTCACCCCCTGTCGTTTGGCGCCCCCTGCAGGAGAGGTGAGGGAGTTCAGAGAAGAGGACCTGAAAAGGATCATCAACGTGGGAACCATGGCCCCCGTGTACATCGTCTGTCTAAAGGAGCTGAGGAGGCTAACCCAAGGGCTGAACGCTGGAGACTGCAGGCTGGTCACACACCGCTAAGGACGTAGCAAAAGCATCCACCATCAAGGTGGAGAAACTTTAATCTTATGGCTGTAAACCACAAACATAAAAAAAAAATTAATAGCAAGTGTCCAATCTAATCATCTTTATGGATTCAAATGTCTCTGAGTGTTACAATTTTGAGTATACTGAATGTAAATAGTTCCGGTGCATGGAGAAGCTATTCATGGATACAGAGGGTGTATATTTAGAATATAATATGTCCCACACTTTATACTGGCTCTTTAAATAATAGAGCTATTTGACTAAAGAAGATGGTCTGCTCATGAGGGGTAATAGATTAACTTCTCTTTCACAAAGCTGAATTAATCATTTTAATGTTATTGTCTCTTTTCACTGTCAACGTGCAACAAGCTTTGTTCCATTTTCAATAAATGTCTGAAAATGTTTAACTCATTGACTGCCAGCCATTTTCAGAACAGAGAGTCGCTCACTGCCAGAGTTTTTAGAGAATTTTGACTGATTTTTCTAGAGCCACTGAATAGTTTGTGCTATGACTATGTAAACACCGAACACACCAAAAGAAAAAGTAGACTCTCTTCTTTCATCAGGAAAAAAGATTTTGTTTCTACCTTATTCCGTTCTTCTTCGACGTGCGTCTCACCGGCGCCATTTCTCTCATAGCGAACCATTGCGTTTGTTTTTATTTGCTTACAATCTATGCTAATCTCCCATCAAAAGTGGCACAGCTACCTAGAGGGTAAATTTGTTAGTCCATACTTTGTCTAGAAGCCGATATTTACGGAAAAACTTTCGCCGATCGTCCCCCAAGCCACTCGCATTGAAAAACATAAAAGACGTCTATAGACGTCTTTGGCAGCGAATGAGTTAAATGTGGCGATGCTGCATTTAGGTGTAAACAGATTATATAGAATCTTTTTTTTCTCACACACAATTTCACAGTTTTCCCTTGGAATAGTTTTTCTTGATATCGGATGCGTTTATGGGAAAATGCATGACATAAAACGGCTCATTGAACATGTTCATTTCCTGATTTGACACAAACAGGTTAAGATTCTTTGTAAGAAATAGAAATAATTCAGTAACTAATAAGTTCGTCATAGTTGTGAATGCTATTCAGTAAACAAACTGGTTTATTGATTTTCACTTTAGGTTTGAATTGCATCGTTTAATAACAGAAGAAAGTGTACAAAATAAGTTACACTGTTAAGGAGATGTAGCTCTTTTAAACAATTGTAAAAAAAAAAGTAACATTTTTGTTGAGATATTACTCTTTTGGAACAACTTAGATTAATGCTAGTGTTACTACAAAAGATGTCCTATATTTCCAAATTTATGATACAGAGCATAAATTTGGTACTTTTAAGCCCTTTTATTCATGTATATGTTTCTATGGCCAGCCTTTGTTTTTGAAAACAAATGAGAAGATTTTTTATTTCTTTCCAAAGTGAATGAGTGCAGTTTGGACACGGGGAACATTGAAATGTATTGATTAGTTTTTTTTCTTGTTTTACTTCAAGCTTGAGGAGTTTTTAGTGTGTTTTTTTTTTCATCGTATTTGACACATTTTCGGCACAACAGCACCGCGTGAGCACGGATCGCGTTTCAGTGACGTCACCCGGGGACGAGCCAATCGGATGGACGGATGCGGGGTAACCGTTGATGACGGGGACCCCCCGGTTGTATTTTTTCTGGACATCCTGCGTTCGGCCACCATTTTGGGAGTCAAAACGCGTAAGAAACGGCCGCCCACGCCTCTCCGTGGCCTTAATATGGTTCACACATGTGTGGTGGCAGGCTGTAGGAACCGAAGGACGCCGGGCACCACCTTATCTTTCTACCGTTTTCCCCGGGACCCCGAGAGGAAGCAGCGGTGGGTAGCGGCCGTTAACCGGGAGGGCTGGGTACCAAACGACGGCAGTCGGCTGTGTAGTACTCACTTCATCTCAGGTACGACTAAGGTACATGAGTACCCCCAAGCGGTCGAGTCCACCCAGAGATGTGACCCCAAACTCTGGAGCTGGAAGGGGATTTTCAGTCATAATGAAATGCCTAAAAAATGCCCCCAAATGTTCGTCTCTGGTTGCATTTTTGAGCTGAAAGAAGCCTTAAATGTCAAAACAAAGATGCTCGCAAGTTTGAGTATCTAATACAGATCTGTCAGTTAAATGCTTATTAAAATTTGGTGTATCATTTGATATATTTAACGTGAATATTTAGGGATTCATTGCATTATTTTGTGATATTTTGAGTAAAAAGAAAAGTATTTGTTTTTGCTCTATCCTAAAATTTGCGCCACAATGGGCCAATATTTCTGACAACTGAGAATCTGTATTTTTGTTATTATCTTAGTTTGTTTTCTGTATGTTTTTGGATTGTTAAAAAAGTCTGAAAATATATGTACGTAATCACTGTTGCTTTATCCATCCATTTTCTATACGCCCCACCATGGTCATGGGAGGGTGGAGCCTATTCACAGGGAACTATGAAATAATAATAATAATAATAATGATAATAAATAATCACTAACGATCCTAAAAACTTAACTGGATCCGTCCACACTTTGTTGCTTTTCTAACTGATGTGATGATCGGGTGGCTGTGTGCCTTTCATCATTCCTCCTCAAACGAAACAAAAAAAATAGAAAGCTGTAGGTTCTGTGGAGCTGTCGGACGTTTCAGTTTCTTCTCTGCTCTCCTTGTTTTTCCCCCACATGCAGGTAAACAGGTAAAGAACCCTCGTTCGCCCGATTATGTCCCCTCTGTGTTCACCGCAGCTCCCTTATCCCCAGAGATGAAGGAGCCGGCCGCCCCGGAGCTCGCCGACAAGCAGGAGGCCCACGTGGAGGCAGCCAACGCCCTGCTGTTCCTGCAGGGCCAGGGCCGCCCCGCCCCCCACCGCCCCCCCCAGGGACAGCGCCCCCCGGAGGCCGAGGACAGCGGGTCGTCCTCCCTCAGCGACGAAGAGGACGACGACCAGGACGAAGATGAGAAGGAGTCTCTGAACGACTCCAAGAGGGGGAGGTTGGACGTGTGTCTGGACTCGGCCGACGCCCTGCGGGCGCTGAAGAAGGAGAACCAGTTCCTGAGGGAGTCCGTGGAGAAGATGTCCCTCTCGGAGAGCTCGTTCAGGAACGACGCGGAGAAGGTGAAGTTCTACACCGGTTTGCCCAACTACTTCGTCCTGGAGACGGTCATGTGGCTGCTGGCGCCGCACATGGACGGCGTGAAGAACGCGCGGCTCTCCAAGTTCCAGCAGCTGCTGCTGACCCTCATGCGGCTGCGCCTGGACCTCCGCAACCAGGACCTGGCCTACCGCTTCGGGGTGAAGGTTGCCACGGTGACGCGGACCGTGCACCGCATGGTGCACATCATGTCCGCCGCCCTGGTGCCCACCGCCGTCTTCTGGCCGTCGCGGGCCGAGCTGAGGAAGAACCTGCCGGCCGCCCTGCGCGGCGCCCACCCGGACTGCGCCGTCATCCTGGACTGCTTCACCGTCGCCTTCGAGGAGGCGGGGCAACAACAGGGCCGGGCGCCATCGCCGCCATCTTCCTCACCGCCCGCTCCCGGCCCCGGCGTGCTGAAGTACCTGATCGGCCTGGCGCCGCAGGGCGTGGTCACCTTCGTCTCCAGGGGCGTGACGGGCGGCGTGAGCAACCAGAGCCTCGCCGAGGGCTGCGGCGTCCTCTGCAAGCTCCTCCCCGGCGACGTGGCGCTCGCCGCCCGCGACCTGGACATCGCCGAGGCCGTGGCCGCGCGCGGCGCCCGGTTCAAAATAGCCGGCGCCTGCCCGGAGGAGGCGGGCGGACAGTCAGAGGGGGCGCCGACGGCAACGCCGGACACGGCGAGCGTGCAGAGGCACGTGGAGAGGGTGGTTTCCATGGTGAAGCGGCGGTACGCCATGCTGACCGGGCCCGTGGAGAGCCCCTTTGGCTCCGCCCCCGAGCGCGCCTCCAGCCTCTCCACCTTCGATAAGATCGTGCAAGTCGCCTGTGCCTTAAACAACCTCTGCATCTCCGCCGCCCCCCTGGAGTGACCATGGTGACCCCCACCAAAGACTAGGCTCCGCCCCCTCGGCGCCGGCGTGGCTCCTCCTCCTGCTCCGGACTCTTTCCCGTGCTCTTCCACTAAAATCACGGGTCAACATGGATGACACTGAAACAAACTCCTCGTTATCTGGGTCACGTTAGCATTAGCCATAGCTGAACTTCCCTTAAATCCCACACCGTTCGCAGTTTTTATTTTTTATTTTATGTGTTTTTTTTACAAAGAAGCCTCTTCCCGTCGCTCCTCTGGGAATGCCGGAGAATGCCGGATGAGTTTGGGTGTTGCAGGGAGTCGGTGAGTCTGTTTTTTTGCCGTCTCCACAAACACTGACGTAGCCGACTACACCCTCCTTCTGTTGTAGCCAAAAAGGGATTCTTTCTTTTTTTATTTTATTTTTTTAATTAACCCAGCTCTTTGTTGCTCAGGCACCACAGAGACGCACAGGACAATGTGCAGCGTGCGTCCCAGAGAGGAGCTTCCTGTTCCACGCAGAGGTACAAACAACCCCGGAACGGTTTCTGGGTCTAAAGGAGACTCATCCTCCGAGGGGGTGATGTTTCCCAGACAGAGAAGTCACAGACAGGACACTTTACCACCCGAATAAACCAGCAGCTCAGCCAAGAAACCCTTTAATTTCAAGTTCCCAGACAGAGAATACTTTGTATTAGACTGTTTATTTCCCATAAATACACCACGTATCTCAGTTTATCATCGCGTGAGCTTCTTCCAGTCAAAATTCCCGGTCTGCCAGAGGCTCTTAACAGGAACTGGAACAGAGCTGTAACACGACGTGAAAGTGATCCCAGTTCAGGTGTCGCCCTCTTCTTTAGGAGCCATGTCTGATCCAGAATGTGCCTTCTGTCCTCCGGCACCCCCAAAGACGGCCATGAGTCCCTCAAACCCCGTTACTATGCACTTCAACCTGCTTTCACCTGTCCTGTGATCCCTGTTTCAGTCTTAGTATTTTTTTTATCTTTTTTTTTTAAGTTAAACTCTAAAAAACACAAACAGCCGCTCCGTCTTTTGTGTGTTTCCCTTGCTGGTGTGCGTCCTTCTTGTCTTTTCTTTTTCGTCGTTTACTCACTAAACTGATGCTTTGTTGATTTAAAAAAGGGGAAAAAAAGACATATTTTTCCCCTCCAGATGTTTATTTTTTATTTAGTTGGAAATGCCCGTCCGAAAAGTTCAAGACGCGACACCTTTTCTGTATCAGATGAGGCTAAATTTCGGTGTTGAGATTTGGAGTAACTGATGGTGAAACCTGTAATCTCTCCGTTGTAATCTGTCTGTTGCGCCACATTTTGACTTTTTTTGTTACCGTTGCATGTGTTTCTGTGATCAGTAACCTTGAAAAGTGCTTGTTTCTCCTCTGACGTTGCTCCCGTGAGTGAAACATTAAAGTTCAAGGACAGAAAAAAAAAAAACATCTCTTTTTAAAGCTTCATCAATACTTTGGAAATTTAACTTTTTTTACTTTGTGGTAGCAGGTAAAGAAGAGTGTATTGCCCGTTTTTAGTCTTCATTCTTAGTTTTTGATTGGCAAAGATTCCCTTTGAGGTCAGAGAGGAATACACAGAGTAATGTAATGTACTTGTATTCCTCAATTTATGAAAAGGAGAAAAATGTTGCGGAGGAGGCTCCACCTTGAGAATGTGCGGTCAGAGAGGCGAGAAAACGAAGATGTCTCACTCCGTTATTTTCTAAACTCAACATGGAAATAGTTTTAATTGTAAAAATCTTTAAATTACATTACTTTGGCCTGAGACATCAGGATTTATTCTGTTCCCAAAAATTAAAAAAAGCCATAAAGATTAACATCACTGATAAAATCTGAGCGCTAAACGGTTCCCATAATTGACCAGAGACATTTTTACGGTTATGTAAAAATGAGCACGCGGTCATTTTTCTCCTGATTCATAGCTGCAACAACTAGAAAAGACAAATTAATGCAGTTTTTAAAAAGTGAATTTAAATATAACATTAACTTTTAACCGACTCCCGGCGCTTAAATTTGGAGAAAAAGCTAAAAACGCGAGAAGTGAGTCTCTTCTCGCGATAGAAGATCTCCGCGTCCGTGCTGACGTTCGTCGGTCCGTCACGTGACCCGAGGAATGTTAACAATGCAGCGAGTGTCCAACTTTGTGCTGCATTTCTGATCCTGCCTCGGGTCTGGGGAGAAAATGGAGGCTCATTTCATCATTTTCGCCCGGTCGCTCCGTCTTCGCTGAGCCCCTCCGAGGCGTGGACGCGCTCACAAGGCCAGGAAAAGGATTTTAAAATTCGGAACTTTGACGGGAAATTTTATCCCCCGAGTCTTTGGGGCCGTCCGGGCTTCTTCTATCACATGGTAAGTCGGGTTACTTTTTTGGGAAGGGGAGTGGTGGTGTGACTTACTTTCGCGACTTGTTGCTGAGGAAAACGCTCCTTTGCGGGTCTTTTGGAAGTCCCCCCCCCCCTTAACCCACTCCCTAACCAGCACCCCTCCAGCCCTGTTGGGTTTGGGGCTGTTTGGGTGAACGGGAGACTGCCTCCATACTTTTCTCCTGCATAGGAATGTGTCGCTGCCCCCCCCCCCCCCCCCCCCCCCCCCCGGGGACAGGGGGGAAGGCCACAGAGCGTTAAAAAAGGGCTTTCCAAATTTTTCCATGTCCCAAAAAAGGGGGGGGGGGCTTCAAGAAAAAAGCTTGGTCACTCATAGACATCCTATAGCTGCTTTTTGAGGAAAGTTTTGAGTCAAATGTGCATTTTTTGGCATGTTGTTGTCAAGTTCTCGATTATTTTGGGGGGTTAAACTCACTCCAAAGCAGCTCAATGAGTAAAAGACTGCTTCTCAACACTGGTACAGTTTTGAGTAAAAGCAGTTTTGAGTAAAATGTGCATTTTTTGGCATGTTGTTGTCAATTTATCGATTATTTTGGGGGGTTAAACTCACTCCAAAGCAGCTCAATGAGGAAAAGACTGCTTCTCAACACTGGTACAGTTTTGAGTAAAAACAGTTTGGAGTAAAATGTTACATTTTTTGGCATGTTGTTGTCAAGTTATCGATTTTTTTGGGGGGGTTAAACTCACTCCAAAGCAGCTCAATGAGTAAAAGACTGCTTCTCAACACTGGTACAGTTTTGAGTAAAAACTGTTTTGAGTAAAATGTTCATTTTTTGGCATGTTGTTGTCAAGTTATCGATTATTTTGGGGGGTTAAACTCACTCCAAAGCAGCTCAATGAGTAAAAGAATGCCTCTCAACACTGGTACAGTTTTGTGTAAAAACAGTTTTGAGTTAAATGTGCATTTTTTGGCATGTTGTTGTCAAGTTATCGATTATTTTGGGGGGTTAAACTCACTCCAAAGCAGCTCAATGAGGAAAAGACTGCTTCTCAACACTGGTACACGAGTGTGGAAGCACAATTTCTGATTTTCTGAGTCTTTTTAGGGACAAAGAGGGCCTGTCTGAGTCCCGATTTGGAAGTCAAACTTCCCCTTTTTGTGTAACGGAGCACACAGGTGTGTGAGCCCGGGCAGATGTGCGTTATCGGGCCCTTCCACAGCTGGAGCTGCTGCTTCCAGGATGTTTAGGTGTTTCTCAACAGGGACGGCGGCCGTGCAGATTTTTGCAGATGTTTGCAGATGTTTGCAGCCTGCTGAAACGAGGCCGGGTCGGATGATGATGATGCGGAGGCCTTTAACCGGCCACTTTTTCTCCCTTTTCCCAACTGTCAGTTTGGTCCGATATTATCACAAATTCCTGTTCTGCAAACCCCGTTTGCCTCTGACCGTCCTGCCGAGATAAATTTAGCAATTTGAAGCCAAAAAGCTGGTTGTGAACGTCGCACCTAGTGGCTTTTTACATGAACAAGTTGGTTCAAGAAACCTTACTTTTTATCAATCAATCAATCAATCAATCAATCAATGTTTATTTATATAGCACTTTACAACAGCCGGAGCTGACCAAACTGCTTTACAGAATAAAAACAGACCAAACTATCGAAATATACAAAGACAAATACATTGGTGACAGAACCCAGTGTACAGAGATTTTACGTGCAAAAAGCCATTCTGAACAAATGCGTTTTAAGTTGAGCTTTGAACAGAGGCAGGTCAGTAAATGAACGTAATTCAGTGGGCAGTTTTAGTAGCTGTGGATGACGAGTGTTTGGGGAAAGATGCTTTTTTTTTTTTTTTGGGTGCTAGTTTCCATCTTGTCTTCCTCCCAGCCTGGAGTCAGATCTGGGTTTTTCTATCACCTGTAAAACTCCAGAAATTTTTTTTTGCTTGCATCCACGCACCAATCTTGTTTTTTGTTTTTTTGTTTGTTTTATTTTGGTCAGCGGCGACTGTCCCATGATTCGGGGGTGGTATTCGACTTGTAGTTACTTGTGGAAAGGAATGCTCTTCTCTCGAACGCGGCGCCCGAAGCATCGGAGGAATGGCAGCAAGAGATCCCCGAGATGGGGAGACATTTCTGCAGCCTGGCCTCACATCACCCGC